GTATTCCACCTATGGATGTGATAGATTTGGTAGATTTCACCCTAACTCGGAAACAGGTTAACCCATTGGTGAAACAAGATTTATTAGATTGCTTAAGAGTATCTTTAGACCAAAATTATTTTTTATTTAATGGACAGATTTACATTTCTAAAGAAGGTTTGATTATGGGAAACCCACTTAGTCCTTTGTTAGCCGAGATTTTTATGGATAATTTGGAAAATATCATTCTAGAACATCCTTTAAGTAAAAGTTTTTTTATGGTAGTATAGATACGTGGATGATGTCTCTTCTTGCTTTGTTGGAACGGACAGACAATTGAATTCTTTTTTAAATTGAGATTGAAATTTTTTACATTTAACTATTACGAAAGCGCAACACAAATTAGATTTTTCAATATAAACCCTTCACACACGGACACAGTCATACATAACAGCTCAAATCACTATTATACACACAAAATGGCTGCATTTAACTCTTTTATACACAGACTTCTTAATACGTCACTCTCAACAGAAAATTACAACAAAGAACTTAATATCATTAAACAAATTGCACTGAACAACGGCTACAATCCGTCCATTATAGATAAAATTATAAATAAAAAACAAATCCAGACAACAGTAAACTAACAACACAATAGGAAATTATTTGAAAAACAATAACCAAAATCTCAAAAATCAGGTGTCTACAGGTTGAAATGCGGATCTTGTCCTAATTTTTATATTGGATAAACAGGTAGATCCTTCAAGACACGCATTAACGTGTCTTGAAGAAACAATAGTCTGGATTCTAATTATGCTACACACTTAATCATAGAAAAACACATTTTTGATATTTTGCATACAGCCACAAAAAGTAGAAAATTAAATTTATTTTAAACAATGGAGATTAACAAAATGAGACATTCAAATGTATTGCTTAACGATCAATTAGATTTAAATACCTCTTCTTCATTGAACTTAAATTCTCACATTAATTAATGGTCATTTTTCGGTATATATAGTACCATGCAGTTTGTAAATATTACATTTGATTAAGACACGGTGTTGTCGAAACAATTGTCATGTCAAAATATATAATTTCGTGAAAATTTGAACTTTTAGTTCTTATTTATTTTTATTTCTTAATTATACCACAGGACTATTTCACAACGTCGGGTACAATTCCGGAGGAATGATGTTTAGCGGCGGAGTGTCCGAGCAACTTGCAGTTTGGATTAAAACTGGATCTCCGAATATTGACATGCATTCGTACGATGTTAAAAGATTTTCACCTGAACAAAGAAAGAACAAGCGTTGGATTGCCGAGACTAGTCATGAAAGTTACGCGAAAAATTACAGCATCGTATATCCACACGAACAAAAGCTAGCTGGTCGTAATTTTAAAACTGATGCTTTCCATCAGGTATTTTGCCCATACTTGGAACGAGGAAATGATAAGTCACGTTATTCGTTATTTATGTAGAGGAATAAATTATTCTACAGTGTGTTTTGTAAGTACGCGACCAAAGTTTTCGTTTTTTTTTTCAGCATTTGGTTGCTAATGGGGCAATAATGGAACAAGTATTTGGATGGGAAAGACCTGCTTATTTTCTAACAAATGGTACAACGGCTCCTGCAATTAAGTATGATTGGTACGGTTGTTACAACCATCGAAGAAACTCTGACCAAAGATTTGAGAAAGAAGTACGAAAAGATTTAACATTTGACTTTTCGGACCATCACAATTTGGTAAGATATGATATTTTAAAAATATTTGTGATGTCAAGCGTCTACTTTCTTGAAAATCGTTATCCGCTATTTCGACTGGATATGATAGTTGTAGTTTTTCTACTCTTCAAAATCGGATTTAATTTGAAAATAAATTTACGGGATGGATCTCCAACAATTGCTTTATAATTCTTAGAGCCAGGTTAAAAACTTTTCAATATTATTGGAAATTAACACAAAATTACCAAGCTTAAGAGTTAAAAGTGCCATAAAAACAAAATACACGAACGGGAAAAACTAGCATGCTAGTGAAATTATAGGGGACTAAGACCTCATTCTAATGGAAAAGGTGTACTTTACTCTAAATCTTTGAAATTGAATTCATTTTTTTTTTCAATTGTTCATTTTATTATTGCAACTTCCAGATAAAAGCAGAAGCACTAGCCTGCAAAACCAGCATAGCATTATTTAACCTATCCTCTTACACCAAGATGTCTCTAATAGGTCCAGATGCTGAAGAAGCTGTTCAATGGTTATTCACTTCAAATATAAAGCCTGGTAAAATCACTAAAACGATAGGACTAAACTCAAGGGCAGGGATTGTGGCCGATGTGACCGTTGTTGCCCTAGAAGACTGTGACGAGGATATTTTTATTGGAGCTCAACCGAATGTAGACAACAACGACCCTTAAAAACAAGTTTATAAAAATATTCGTTTAGTTGCAGGGAAAACGCTATTATGTGGTAGCGGACAGTGGATCGGGTTACCAGATCAAATGCCACATCAGAAAAGAATTAAACGCCCAAAATTTCGACTGCGAATTGATTGAAGTTAGCGACAAATTCGGAATCTTGTCTCTGAAAGGTCCAAACAGGTAAGAACAATCAGCTAAATTTTTTATAATGAATTGTTTAAACATGTACCTACGATAAGTATGATGTTGTGTTGCGACTTAGGTAAATTAGTTTTCAGCCATCAACTTCTTATGCCTCTGATAGAAACGCCAATATCAAAGTTAAGTTATGAAATTCTTAAGATTAACGCTCATGAGTGTATGATAATCAATACGAACGATGTAGGTGAACTCGGATGGCAGATTCACATTCCTGTTAGTCACTGCATGTCAGTACTTAATTCAATCTTAGACGCAGGAAAAAAGTTAAATTTTAAAATTACATATGCCGGATTCAGAGCGTTGGAATCGTTAAGTTTAGAGAAAGGTAATTGATATGGGTTCAGAAATAATACTGCTAAGGTACGCTCAAACTCGTTATTTTTGTTAGAAGCCCACGTTTTGAATGAAGATGTCAGAGTGGACGACAATCCATTAGAGGCAGGGTTGTCCCACTTGTGCCGCTGCTCTGGTCAATATCAAGGAAAATTTGCATTGAAAAAAGTTAGCAGGTCATTTATGATTATTATAAGTTTAGTCCACCAAATTTTAATTTTTTTTATTTTTGAAAAAACTAACAGATCGAAACAGATTCAAAAAAGCCGCGAACAGGATTGGTTAGTTATTTATGCTATTCTTGCCTACAGACAAAATATAAACAATGGTGTTAATTACGTAAATAAGTATTTGCAAAAGTATGTATGGTGTTCTCTGCTGTACCTGGGATGGATATCACGGGTTGCTAGTTAAATCTCACCCTATGCATATATATCGGGTCCTATGTAATGTAATCCTGTAATAGTCAGAGGAAATGTTGATTTGATTTTAAATCGAACAAGTTCAAGAAACGCTAACTTGTTAGGGAACTTCTTGGATAAAATATTAATCGATACCCTAACTGCAATACCCCGTTTACTTTTTTATTTGGTGAAATGGTGGCAGCCCATTTTACATGGCTGAATCGTTGATTCAGAGCCTTAACTTTTTTGTCAATGATAAAAATTTTTTATCTCTTCTAGAATTCGTTTTCTTTCAGATACGGGATATTACAGTTTTACCATCATAATGTTATTGTAATATTAAAAATAAAATAATAAAATCTGATACTGAGGGACAAATTGAACAGTGATTTTCTCTTTTGAAGATTGAGGAAATCGGACCAAAGAAGAGGCGAAGCTTTTTCGCTTTAGAACATCCCATAGCCCTCTACGGGTTGGAAACAATATGGAGAGATAACGAAATTGTTGGCTATTTACGCAGGGGAGGTTATAGCTTTTCTATGGATTGTTCTGTAGGAATTGGGCAAGTTCATGACTTTTGTTCTTATCATCCCATTCGCAATGGTTTGTATTTCCAGATATGTCTGCCACTCATATGATTCTGTCGTAGACAGCCACTTTTTACGAACAGGGAGGTATCAAATTGAAGTCAGAAATAAAAAATATCCTGCTATTTATCTAGGTAGCCCAATACTCCCGGAAACGTTTCCTGATTTGTGTCTTTGTTGACTGCATCTGCACATTTATTTTATAGTAAATCTGTAATGTACAACCCATAAGTATATTATTAATCTCTGTAATATAAATTCGAGCTTTTACCAATATGTAAGACTTTTTACACAATCAACCATTCTACCAAGGTCACTATTCTGCAATCTTGGGAATAGAAATGTTGTAGGCAAATAGTCAAAAGTTAGTGTGTTCCTTTAAAATGTTAAAACGCATCAGTATCTTTGATAAAGGTCTATTAAAAAAAAAGAAATTGTTACTCCGAAGTTCATTCTCATGAATGATAGAAATTTTACGTCTTGTGTATATTACCAATGTTTTTACTACTAATTTAATAAAAGAAATTAATAACCAAAAACTGCAATGATAATGGAGAACCTTAACCAACTTCCATAGTGGCACAATATTATCAATGCTCTGAAGGAGATTGATGAATTCCTTTCAGATTTCACAAAATCACTGTTTCTTTTCTATTCAAGATTACTGGGTAGTAAAATCTTTCCCTTTTCAAGAATAAACTGGACAGATTTTCTTCTTCTTCTGTTACGTTTCACATCAAGTTGGGCCAACTGTTCGGATCATTGGTCTATTACTGACGTCAATCGCTGATTTAAAAACACTTATTTTGAAATCCACAACGTCCAACTTATATTGTACATGCGGTCATCAACTTATTGGATATCCACCGACTTTTCCGGCGTCTGCCGAGGAAAATTTTACCGATAACATTTTTCACAACAACCAAGAATCATGGTGGGAATCGAACCCACAACCTACTGTGGTCGAGTTGGCAGGGCAGAAACACCTTGCCAACCGAGCCATCCTCGATTCCATGGACTAACCTGTATCTGGTAGGTAAAGAAGCAGACATGCAAATGACTTTTTATTTTCCTCTGTCAAAGCAAGAAATTTAATTCGTTTCTGTGGTGTGGTGCAAAAAGCTTAAGACAAAAGTTACTGTCACATGACAACTTGATTAACATTATTTATTAAAAAGTACCAAACCATGAGTGAAACTGCTAGAGAAAATGCACCCGTGGTTCATAATCAAGTTCCAATCGCGCAAGATGAAACTAATCAATCAGTTAGCGGGGAAAACGTAAGCAATATCAATAACATCAGCCACGTTTTGATGATAGAAATTTCTTTTTTCAGCAAAATGGTACCATACAACAACAGAGACAACCTTCCAGGCTCGAATCATTTTTAACAGTGGCCAAATCCCTTGTCATAAGAATGGTTATTATTTATTTTATTACTTCTTTCTTTAGGGCCCCCAAACCACCTGTCACAAACTTAACTGACAGTCCTGCACCAGTAACGCAGGCAAAAAACATTTTTAGAGATGGTATGCCATTAAGTTTACACATTTTTCTATCTGAATCTGAAAGATTAAGTAACTATTCACACCATAACTTGTTTTGGTACAAAGATATTGTATATAGTGACTGGACTGGGGGTGCAAATAAGGATGGAATTTTTGAAATTGAAAAAGACGTCCTAATTACTGACACTTTGAGGAACAATGGATCTCTTTATTTGCATGCATTTGTTACTAAAAGGGGTTTAAGTCCAGATCCAAAAGCTAAAAATTACAACTACAATGAAATGAGCGGCGCTGTGAAACAGCTTAATAGGTAATTATTACATTTCATTACAAACATCTTTGTCTTTTATGAAAAGTAAACATAATTTATCATTAGGTAAATACCTACATTAAAGTCGTTATGCAAATAATTAAATGTCACCTTATTTTAAGCATAACATAGTGTTATTAACTTTAATTTTTTGTAATGACGTTTTTGTTTCAGATTTAAAAAGATCAAATCAAGCAAAACAAAGAACCTCCTCACAGGTGAGACAGAAAATGCAGAAATTGATAGTGACAAGATTGTATCCCATTTTCATTCAAATTTCACCATTAATCTAGTTTGCGATCAATCTCTATGGAATTATGGTCAAGTGCCTGCACCTTTGGATCAGTATATAAAATTTACTGATGACTTTGCTTATTATAAACCAATTTTGTACCCAAATGATTTCTGGAATATGGCACGCGACTACAAACCACTTAATGATACTCTGAGGTTGAGGTTGACTTATCAACCATTGAGTTTGCTTAAATGGCAACTATATGCAGCTCAAGCCATGCGGAATACCATGTTTAATATTTGGGGAGAGGCTGAACCTCAGCAGACTGACGAAGAACAAGACACTATAAAGGAAACTCTTATGGATACAAATCCTTACCTACTCGGAATTACTTTGGTTATTTCTTTATTTCATTCAGTCTTTGAACTATTGGCTTTTAAAAATGATATCCAGTTTTGGAATAACAGAAACTCTCTTGAAGGGTTGTCTGTTAGATCAGTATTTTTCAGTGTTTTCCAAAGTCTCATTGTGTTACTCTATGTTTTGGATAATGAGACCAACATGCTTATAAGGATATCCTGTTTTGTTGGTCTTTGCATAGAATTGTGGAAAATATGGAAAGTGGTAGACATAAAATTTGAAAATGGAAGAATCACATTCCATGATAAAGGTTCTTATGTTGAATCGAGTACTAAACAATATGATGAATTAGCTTTCAAGTACCTGTCTTGGCTATGTTTTCCTTTACTGGCAGGCTATAGTGTCTATGCCCTACTATACCTTGAGCACAAAGGATGGTATTCATTTGTTTTGGATTTGCTTTATGGTTACCTGCTAACTTTTGGATTTATAATGATGACGCCTCAATTGTTTATCAACTACAAACTAAAATCGGTTGCACATTTGCCATGGAGAATGTTAACTTACAAATTTCTTAATACTTTTATCGACGATATGTTCGCGTTTGTTATAAAAATGCCTACAATGTACAGAATAGGTTGTTTCCGAGATGACATAGTGTTTCTGGTGTTTCTCTATCAGCGTTGGATTTATCCTGTAGATAAAAGCAGAAAAAATGAGTTTGGCTACTCAGCTGATCAAGAGGAACAACAATCTACTGGAAGTGATCGTCAAGTTGTACCAAAGGAAACCAAAAAGGAGCAATGAGCTTTATTATTTATTTTATATTGATATTGCCTTCCTTTGAAAACGTATTATTTGTGATACCGACATATATGCATGTTATATATATGCCAAAATCAAACGAGAGGCGTAAATAAAATTAAGTTGTAGGGAATATTTGTTGTAAAAAATCATAATTAAACGCAGTTTGTGAGGTTAGATCCGAAATGTACCTTATTTTAATATTTGTGCGAGTTTGTACTGATTATATTAATAAAACTGCGTTTATACTTTGTCGCATTTTTAATTTAAATAAGGGTTCTTTACTTTAATTTGGGCTGGCTTTAATCGATATAACAGTTTTCTTTTTCTGCGATTGTTCCTAAATTTAATCTGAGTTTGGTCCAATTATCCTCGTGCATTTGGTCTATGGAAGAAAAAGATGAAGTATTTTTTTCATCCATATTTGCGATCTTTGACACTCTCGTGTTATGTAAAAATTAATATTAATTTAAAAATTCAAAAAGTTTTTGGGTTTATACTTCATTGGTGATGGGTAGTCTTGCTCGTATAAGTTTAAATAAACTTGGAGGTTGTAAAAGTATTAAGATTTTACACTTAAAACATGGAGTTCGCACCATTACTTCAAAATTAGATCAACTGCCTCCGAAACCGAAACCCTGGCCCTATAATGAGAAGAAATTTACAATGTTGAATTTCTTTTTCGATAAAACCTCTGCTAGATTGGACGAAAATTCTAAGGTAATAATTTACCTCGAAGTTTCTCGTAAAACAGTTTTGATAGCTTGTAGTAGTGGAAGGACCTGTCGCAGCGGGTAAAACAAAAGTAGCGAAACAAATCGCCAACACGTTTAATATGTTATATTTACCTGAAGCAAATTTGGATATGTTTTACATTAACAGTTACGGGTATGACTTGAGGAAATTAGATCCTATGTTGCCTGAAGACTGTAGAACGTTCGATGTTATGGATTTTTTGAAAAATCCAAGACACAAACTTGTTGCCAGAATGCAGATCGAGCAGTTTAGAGCAAAGTATTTGTATAAACTGTTGCTAACTATTTGCCTTTATTAAATTTTTATTCTAGATACTCCCAGTATATAGATGCCTTAGCACATATTTTAAGCACTGGACAGGGTGTTGTTTTAGATCGCTGTGTTTACTCTGACTTTGTCTTTGCTGAGAGCATGTTTAGCCAAGGGTACATCTCCAAAGCAGGTAAGTCTCGTTTAATTTTTCAAAAAAGTTCTGGATTTCTCCGGCATCACTTGATCAATTACTATATACTTGCTGACGTTTCGCCAGTTTCATTTAAGTTCTGAAGAAGTCAATAAGTTGATTGGTGAAATGTCAGAGAGTTCAATGCATTCACCAACTGGCGCAATTCTCTTTTGCACCAAAATAAAGTCCAAAATGATCATTGCCTTCATTTTTCAGCAAGAAAAAAATATTATGAAGTCAGAGACAATTGCATCGGTGAATTGCTGAGACCTCATCTAGTGATTTACCTGGATGTTCCTGTACCAAATGTTTTGGATAATATTAAAAAACGTGCAGTTGGTTGGGAAAAAAATTCTCAAGTTTTAAATGAGAAATATTTGGAAGTCATGGAATATAACTATAAGCAGAGTTATTTAAGGCGAATGGGGTAATATATATTTTTACAAGAAAAATGTTAATTGTGGACTAAGAAATTTACTTACATTTACTTACTTACATCATTGCAGTAAAAATTAGTTTTAGTGTAATAACTGAACTTTTTTTAGGGAACATGCTGAGCTTTTAATTTATGATTGGAGTGTTGAGGGAGACCTGGAAATTGTTTTAGAAGATATTGAGCAAATAGATTTTGATAAGTATGATTACCAGGATCCTCACATGAAAGATTGGTATCTCAAATTAGAAGAAGATTATGCTTGCCTTCGGCACTTGTAAGTTACTTCTGCATTTAAATGTATGGAGGTGTATGTTACTGAATTTTATAGGTATGCAGATAAAAAATATAATTTAATGGCTTATTCTACCAGTGTTCCAATGACAGGTGCACCAGAACTGCTTGTCGACGCGGAAGATGCAGATCAATACCACAAGATTTTGGCCACAGTAATTATCTTGATTTCACTTTTTATTTTTTAATTGTTGGCATACACTTTTTAGGCGCCGGGTGAACAATATGCACCAGGATATAATAAGGCCTTGGGAGATACAGGCATACTTTTCAAAATGGATCGTCATCAGAGGGACACATTACCTTTGACAGAGAGGCGATTACATTACCTTTAAAGTGAAACTTAAGTTATTTATATTTTTCAAACTCTTTATTACAACTGTCATTGTTAAAGAAAAACCAGATACTTGTAATAAATCTAAATCGAATAGTATTGTTTCATTTTTGGAATGTGATCATGCTTATGATTTCCAACCAGGAGTTTCAGATATACGAAGCTAGTATTGAATGGAAGGTTTCAATTTTATTTTTTGACCATCATCACTTTAATTTCATTCAGATTTCATTGATGCATAGTTTATTTTGTGTTGTTCTGGATACATTTAACATAAATCAAATTTTTGTTAAATTAATTTCGCAAAAATAACTATTAATAACACTGTTATGCAGATCATTGTTCCTTGGAAATTTAATAAATATAAACTTGAGCAAAAGAAAAATTATTGGGTCATAAAATTGATAAAATTTTATGTACCTACGTGGGAAATGTGATACCACTATAGTAATAGCGCTAAAACTCGTTGAACTAGTTATAGTTCGCCAACGATATACCGTTCTTAGAACCTTTACGGTTTTGACTTTGGAATGAGTTTAAGACCCGCCTGTTGTAAAGCGGAAGGGTCCACTCTTTTCATCACGTATACCACAAGCTAGAGCCGCATTTAAGATGTTAGCCGACAAGAACTGTGGCTTGCGGACTGTTGTATTTTAAGAGTAGGAAAATTTTCTTTATTAAACTGTTATTCATATTAGTGTGCTTTTTATAAGTCTGTAAATGATATGTATTTTGAAAATTTCTATACAAAGAAGCAGTTATTGAAAGTTCTTCAAACCGGAATGTTTGACAAGAAGTATAATGGCCATGGAGAGAGATTCAAAGTTGACCGTATTTCACCATATCACAGCAATTTTAATTTGATAGAACTGATATGGGGACAGCTGAAACCCAGTTTAGGAAGAAACAACACCTCGCCGAAATTTAGTGCTGGAGCAATAGAATTAATTAGAAGTGAAGTTGAAAAAATATCTACTTCTAGTTGGAAAAAATGTGTAAAAGAAGAAAATGTTTACAGGAGTTGACTAGTGCCAGAATTCATTATTAATGTGGGGGACGCTTGCAGTGGCAATAGTGATTATTTTGATGTAGAATTACTTTTTTTTTAATTAATATTCTAACATTTTTTTATAGCTAAATTTACTCCTCCATTTATATTTACAATAAACATTTTAATAATAAAAATCGAGGAATCTTACCGATGAAACAACACCAAGTAGGTTTTCTAACATCATTATGGAATTGCGAATCTATTTATTGAGAGTTACAAAGAGAACCCAAGCGGCCTGCGGTTAGACCTTTATAAAAGTTTACCAAAGTTAAATACCGGATTATGTCGTACAAACGGTATATTATTGGCGAACTATAACTAAACATTTCGATTACAAAATTTCGTCCTATCAAAAATCGTAGGTGGGCGGGGCAAGTTCGTAGTGTGTAGCGCGGACCAGAGTTTTATTTCAAAAAGAAGCCAATTCGGGGTTTTTGTCCTTGAGGGACACATTGTTTTTCTATCGTGCTCCTACAGACCACTATGGAACTTTCGCAAAATCGATATATTTGAATTGTGCATGCGTCCTGTATAAATTGGCACTTATGACGTTTTTGAATATTGCACGAAATATCCCGAACACCTTGTGCAATGTGTGAAAACTTTAAATACAAAAGTTTTAGCTGTTCATACGGGCTATATAGCAATGTAAAAAAAACTGACAGCAGAATTACCGCCTTCTAGTTATGGTCAATTATCATTACAAAAAGACCCCAATTTTCAGTTTTTTGCAAATTACCGACGCACCCTGTACATATTTAAAAAAACATCAGGAGTAAAGATTTTTTGTCCAGATCTTGCGCGTCAGTTGGTTTAAGAATTTTTCGATCGTACATATCGTTTTTGAGAAATGATTTTTTTTTCGGGACCCTGCACATGCGGTTTTTAAATTTTTAAAATTACTCCCCTACCCACCACCCCCCGATTTCAATAGGTTCCGTTAGGGAATTAAACTCTACATTTGTGCCAATTTTGAAATCGATAGCTACAAATTTCGGACACTAATCGTGTTTCACAGCGATGTACGAAAAACAGAGGAAAATCGCAAATAAAAGATCAACGTCACTGTCCGATCGCGGCCATTTCCTACAGGCTGATGTATCTCGTGGACAGTTTAAAAGGAGAAAAATCTAAGCGCACTGGGTTAAGTCGTTCGGAAGTTATTCGCGTTTTTATGAAGCGTCGATAGAGAACGGAGAACGGACAGACAAAATAATTATTTTTTTCGACGCTGATCATTTATGTACTAATGGGGGTCCCCTAGGACCTCCCGTTGCCGAGATATAAGTTTCGTGGCCAAGCGCGTATACTTTCGAAAAATTCGATTTCATCGATTTTTCGAAAGTGACAAGTCCGTTTAAAACTAGATTAACAAAATAGAAATACTGAAATTTCTAAAATATAAATCCGCGGAAATTAAAATACTGCAAAAGACATTCTGTTTGTGTTTCTCAAGAGTAAAATCAAAAACCCAACTGACTGCACTAAAAGTATATTTCGAAATGAGGCGAATAAGCAGCAAACTTGAATTTTCAGTAGATATACCCTGTATTCAAATGGCAACCGTGCAGATTCAACAATGAAACTTAATTTAAGCCCGAGAACTTTCTCTCAACTACTTTAATCGAAATACAATGGGACCTTCTTGGCTTCTCTGGCAACAAAAACCCCTAAAGTTTAATGACTTTGAGGGTTCAGTTTGTTGTCACCCCATTTGAAATTTTCTTGTGTCATTATATACACCGACCAATAAAATAAATTAAACATTCCAAAGGAAGCGGGAAAGACGACTCTGGCAGTTCTGTCTATCAACGACACGCTGTTTACGTGACGGATCCCGTGATGGTGGCCACTTTTGTTCAATTCTGAAAAAGTAGGGAAAACAACTGTTTAGTCAAGGTCTATAGTGTCGATGCAGATACCCAATGCTCCGAAAGCAGCCTCTCGTTGCCTCTGTTTCCTGAACTTGTCATCTCCTTTCAAGCAGTACAAAAATTGTTTCCATCTGGGTAACTTGTTTTCGGTTTGCGTGGTCTTCTCCATTGTCGTACGCGCTGGTGGGGATGCTTGTATATTCGAAATCAGAGATGTGCGTCTACCGTTGCGATACAAGTTGCATGTCTGCAATGGAATAATAATCAAGTTCCACTCAAACAACACATATTAACATTAAAGAACCGCGTTTAGATAATACCTATATGTAAATATTGATAGAAGTATTTCTATTTTATTTCTATACATCGACCAACAGAGACAGAAAAAGAGTTTGTAAAGTGTATATCGACACATTATCCGGTTTTTTCCAAGTTTATCTCTTACCCCCTGTAAACTTTGCGCGATATTTTTTAAAAAAACATTAATTAAATTAAGTTCATTATACATTTGTTAATGTTACTCATTTTCAACGTTTTCTTTCTTACTACCAAACCATAAAGAACTTCTTTGCGAACCTGTTACCAATTTTTAATTTTTAAAAGGAGTTTTAATAACTTTCACAGCAGTATAACAGCTAGAATCAAACGACAAAATATAAAAATAACAATAAATAGTATTAACTGGAAGCACTCAAACGGAACACATCAGAACAAAATGAGCGGAGGCTGCCAACAAACGGATCAAGCTTTAGACAGTTGTACGCTTTCAGCATTCTAATTGGGGCTGAATAAATTCCTTAATTTGCGCGATGGTAAGGTATGCGAAACATTGAGTTATCACAGCTTCTGTAATACTCGTTAAATTGTTTGTAAAAGAACTGGACAATAATACCAACCATTCAAAATCTTAAAGAGAAAAAATAAATCGCTCAAGAATCTTCTGGTTTGAAGAGTATCAATAGTGAAGGCCTTAGTTGATCTGATACCGATTATGGATGCGCATTTGAAGCCAAAGATCTTAAAAATACTTTCTGAACGGCTTTAATGTTACCTATATGCCAGGCATAATATGGAGACTAGTCTAGAGCGAACCAAAGAGATATAGAGGATTCTAAAGCAATGTGGAGTAAGTACAACAAACCCAAGGACTCGCATACACAAAACATAGTTTAAAATCCAAAGTCTTTAATGCATCAATGCTATATCGGTTGTGAACCATACTCAACGAACGACTAAAGCTAATACTACAGTATTTTTTTACATTGACCGTATGCAGCAGATCATTCTAGCGCGATTCAACCCTCTTGAATATTTTCAAATCATCCGCAAACATAAGACACTGCGATTCCGAAACTACACTAACAATATCATTTATAAACAAGTTAGAGAGGATGGGTCCAGTTTGAGAATCGTGGGGGACTCCCGAAAAAATATCAATTAAATAACATAGCTGTGCCATTTAGCACATTATTTTTCAAATTCTTTGTGTGTTTTATTTAAAATGTAAACTACAACACATTTTGGACTTCTGTTATTTTAAGTAAAGGCAGTAATAAAATTTCTTTAAGAATGCAAATTAATAATTAATTAAATATTAATTAATCGAATTTGCTAGTTTTCAAGACGACTTACATAAGCAAGTCATAGCTCGTCTAAGTCAATAATTTATGAGAAAAATATTCTTTACGTGCATTTTCAAAACGAGCAGCAATTTTTTATTCCCTCAAATTTAAGAAACGGCTGCGGATGAGTATAGAGCCGTGTGTAGAGAGTTTGTATATAAATTATTGAACTTTTTGAAGATAATGTCAAATATGTTGGGTTTTATTAACAAAAAAATGAGTTCTTACTACTTTTTTATTTTAAATATAAATTTCTGTCAATCAAATGTATTACCTATCCCGTGTAAGATCTTGAAATAGCTAGCGCACTTATGCAATAAAATATTAAGCTTTAATGAAATTGCGTTTCCCAGCAAAAAAAATCCGATGGAGGAGGAAAAATCAGAAAGGAAATATTAACAAAAGTTACTGAGAATTTTGCGCAAAACCAGAAAACGAACTAATTTACATGGTGTCCCATTTCAATTACCAGTGTTGTCTGTTTCGATTTCAGTTGGCAACGCTGCAGTGTAATATCATCAAGTGTATGTGTAGAGCGTATGAAATGAAACGATCAAAAATTTTTGCTTACGTGATATATGGGGCACACCAATGAACTGCGCCTTCGTCTTCCGTCTGTACTGGTATTCTCTAGCAAATCCGCGGCTGTGCTTCCAACATATTCCTCCTCGGTATCCTGACAGTCCTCCCAATCGTCTTCGTTTACTGGAATTTCTCCGCTACCAACCTGCAGCGGAAATCGGTTATCGCTCATAAACTCAATCCCCAGTCAACTGACTTTGGTAAAATAATGAACTCCCGCAAATTCTAGCAATGTAGCAATGCAATAGAAGAAACTCATCAGCAGGAACCAGTCGAGGGCGGTCGCGTACCGGACTTTTGGCAAATCCGTCCGGGAATCGAGACTGATTGTCGACAACGTTAAAACCGTCGTAATGCCAAGTCCGACTCTGTCGCTAGTGGCTTCCCGATGAATCCAAAAGGAAACCCACGACAGGACGACGATAAGAATGCACGGAACATAGACCTGAATAAGGAAGTATCCTGTATGACGCTGAAGATTGAACGAGACTTCTAGGACGGAAAACTCGCCTGAAAAAGACGGTTTCAGAGGGAAAATATCCTCGGTAATCGTTTTCCTGGATATCACATCAAACACTCGATATGTACGGGGCATTTTAAATAAACATACCTCAAATATTTTTTTATCTTAAAGAAGAAAAACATTTCTTTGAGATTTAATTACCTCCTACCGATTTTTCTTACCTTCTCTCCTTTTTAAAGTAAAGTTCCTAGACGGAAAACTGATAAGATCGAATTGAGAAAGTGTCATTCCGGCGACAAAATTAACGCTTGCGTCATCTTGCCACTGATAAATCAGGTCTTTTGATGTATATCCGACTGAAAAGGCAATACAAACTTTAAGTTTACAACATATGTATTTACTATTATTGTAATGTATTTTACTTCAGATGTGAATTAATAAAAAAGGAACAATAATAATTGACTCAAAGAGTAAACAGTTTAAAGGCAGAAATTATGTGTTTCTAATATCTCTTTTAAATTGCATTAAAATTATATAGTAACTCAAAAGAAACGGCAAATAAATGCAGAATGAAACCTATAAAAAATATTCACCTATAATATCTGCTTCAATTATTTCCGAACAATTTTCGAAGAATAATTCAGGTACGAGAGAGATTCGGTTTTACTGGATGTTGACACTATTATGTGTAGCTTCGTCACGTTTTATTTGTGAAATACAAAAAGAAACATGTATCGTTTTGGAAAGGAAACTGGTGAAACAATAAGAAAAGCGGATTTATTAATTCCTACTAATACAAAAAAATCAAAGACAACGATATGGAAACAATTGCTAGAAATTTATGAAGAAAAGAAATAGACAAGACAGTGAATATCAGGAAAAGATTCAAGATATTCTTACCGACGGATCATATCGTAAACTTGAAAAAGATCCTACATCATCCTACATCATCTATGGATCGCAACCTAAAATCTGTTTTTTAGAGTTCTCTATCAGACTCCGTGAAACAATGTGTCATCCCTTACGACTCTAAAATTCCTCGTCTCTACGGACTCCCAAAGATTCACAAACTGGTTCTCCAACATATTCTCTCGCAAAATATCTAACTTCCTTATTTAAACCCCTCACAGGAAAAACTGATAGTTAATTCCTTTCACTTCATTAAACAATTAAAAAGCATTACATTAGATACACAAGATCTTCTAGTTAGTTTCGACCTAGAATCCCTTTTTACCAGAGTTCCTATTCCTGAAACTCTCAACAAACAGAATTAAAACACCTTACCTCTGCTCTTGTCTCTAATAATTTCCGCATTAAAAATATTAAGCGTTCCATCAAAAAATACCCTTTACCACAATCTTCCAATGGCAATGAGACCGAAAGCAATCCTACACTTGCCACCGTGGTCCTTCCTTAGATTCAAAACATCACTGACCACATATCAAACGTTCTAAAGAAATATAACGTGATAACCAGATTTACCACTTGTCCAAAAATCTCTCAACATCTTCGACCCGTCAAAGACAAAATTCCATTTGAAATGCCAGAAGTTTACAGCATTCGATGCATATGCGGCAAAGAATACATTGGAGCGGCCGGACGAAAAATATCAACTAGGCTCAAAGGACATGAAAGAGCAATCCTAACCGCGACTCAGGTCTTTACCTGTCACCACTAGGGCTTCGCCCTCCTCAAACAATATATAAACAGGTATAGAGCAAAATGCGAGCCATTTTCATTCAAGCTCTGATGAAGAAAACATGATGATTAGAGATAGTAAGATGAGTACATAGTTGTCTATTGTTTAGGTTATATGGAATTCTATAGCCAAGCAGTTCCAAGAGACTTTAGCCAAATTTCGGCATAAGTTCAATCTATTTCCGCAGCAAGTGCTTCGAGAGACGAAACGCCGACGCTTACAAAGAAATCAAACTATAAAAAAACCAAATGCAGTTGTTGGCCGCACAAAAATTGTACCAATCATTGAGATACAGCAAACATTTTGTCATATTATTTTACGCGAATTAGCTTGGTGGGTGGTGAAGGGATTGCGGCAAAAACATATATACTATACAGAATCTGGGTTAAAACCCGAACTAGAAGATCGATTTAAGGAGATTCTTAGTGAAATTATTATAATTATAATTATTATAAATGTCGCATAGGCATTGAGTGTAAAGAACCTCATTACTTGACTCGCAAATGAGGAAAAAAGAAGGAGAAAATGAATTCGAAAAATATGTGGAAGTTATAAGAGATATCGGTAAATAACAAGTACCCATGATCTAGGTTCAACATAAAAAGTTAAAAATAAATATCTATCAGAATAATTATTATTTGTTTATTTTATTCTTATTGACTTTACGTCAGTACTTTTATTGTATCTGTCAGGTCATAAAAATTAGATATAAGAAAGTGACCAATTGCTTTTCAATGGGATTATCCAAGGGTGGTCATTAAGATAGAATGCAACAAGATTATTATCTAAAGTTTCGGAATTTAAATTCAGGTGAAATTGTGGTCAGTAATAGAAAATAATTTTATACCTACCTGTGTTTAATATTCTTTAGTTTAAGTTTATTAGTAATCATTCTTATTTCGTGTGTAATACAGCGTGTGTTGAATCGTGTGCGAATTATGCAAAATATGTGCGAGTCTAGTGTATCTCAGGAGATGCTCCCGCCCAAATGTAGGATATACTAGTGTATTGAGACTAAGGAAGTTATAAACAATGTTGATTTGACTCTGATTGGACGTGGTGTCAGCAAGCAAGCATCTTTAGAAGAAACTGCCACATTGACGAAAATTCCAAAATGGAAACTTGTGAATAATCTCATTTCAGCGAGGAAAAAAAGAAGCGATGCGGACTTTTTCTCGAGTGTAGATGAAAGTGATCAAGATATAATACGGCGTAAAATTTACCAGTTATACGAGGAACAAAGCGTGCCTACATTAGATATCTTAATTAGAAGGCTTGAAAAAGATGAAACCGGCGTTAAATGTGGCAGAACTACCTTATGGAAGTGTATTCAACACATGGGTTGTAGATTTTAAAAAATTGGCAAAAAGCAAGTTTTAATGGAATCTTTTAGAATTCGGAAATGACCACTGGAATATCTAGAAAAAAATAGGATTTACAGAGAACAACAAAGGTTAATTATTTACTTGGATGAAACCTGGTTCGACACTTATGATACCCCGGAAAAGCGCTGGGTTGACTCAACTGATAAGTGTAAAACAAACGCGCCATCAAAAAGAGGTAAAAGAATAACTATTTTCCATGCTGACTCTAAAGATGGTTGGATTCCAAATAGACTTTCTCTGCCTGCGAAAAATATTAAAGATTCTCCTCTGGATTACCACGAAGACACTACCGCTGATTTATTTGAAAGTTGGTATAAAAACAAACTTCCTTCTAATAGCGTCATTGTAATGGACAATGCAAGTTATCATAGTAGGCGATTGACTAAAACCCGTTCCTTAGAAAAGCAACAATCCAAAACTACATGTATAATAACGACATTTATTTTCGCGAAGATTATACCAAAAAGCAATTAATTGAGGTTCTACACAGCTTGAATCTACAAAAGGAATACGTCTGTGATAATTATCCAAAAAATCTAGGGCATACAGTTTTAAGGCTTCCACCTTACCATTGGATATTTAATCCCATTGAACATGTTTGGCACCAACTGAAATCTGCCATTCGTCGTAACAATCTTTTTCCCCGTGTTAACTCCAATGTCCTCAAACTTATAGAAACCGAAGTTTTTAACATCCCTCCACAAAGTTGGGCAAATTCTGTTAAACATATAGAAAAAGCAGAACAATCGTATATCCATATTGCAAAATAATATAGAACAAATAATAATTAGAACAGGCGATGATAGCGATAGTGATACTGATATATTATGTGAATAATTTTAAGTAATTTAAGTAGGTAATAAAAATAATTGGTAATTTTATTTTAGATTTAAACATAAATACATACATAAATAAATAAATATTGTTTATTATCTTTCGTAACAAAACCCCAAATAATTAAATTCTAAGCAAAGTACGGACCTGTTCGGCAATATTTCATTCTTACAGCTTTCCCGGGTCTTTCCTTAATTCGTATCAGTTAGTCACTTTCTTATATCTATGAACAGACTGTACCTGTTATTAATACTACAGGTAGGTGCTTATAGGTATTGAGATTTTCTATAAAATAAATGTCAACAAAATCGTTGCAATTGGAAAGATTTTTTTAATATTAAAAAAAATTGAATTTCGTTATTTCGTACAAAATCGAAAAATTTCTTAGTAATATGTACGTATTCCTGTGGTATAATACATAATGATATACGATTGGGCTCACTATATGCGCAAGTTCCAACCTCATACTTGGCACCATTTAAAGCGTGGTGAAATTAATTTGAAGGATAAATAAATTAAAAGTTTTGTTACTTACAGCTGCCTAGAATAAGTGGGCAAGACTGGCGGTCCATTGGAAAACTTCGCAACTCCATTGGACATTTGGCTTTAATGGTTAGCCTGAAAAAATAACGAAAGTGCTCTGTAGAGTTGAGTAAAGGCAAAACGTCACCAAAAAATGAAATAACATAAAATTACAAAAGTTTTTTTTTTTTACCTCATCGAATAAAGGATATCTCCATCTTGGCTGATCCTGAGCAATTTATTGGGGACGGTTATGGTATGTACGTAAGAGTTCTTCCCGTTGTAAAAATAGGTATCAGGCCTCCATATTCGCTCTAGCATCTTGATAGAAAGCGATAAAGATTTTATGGGTCCCAGAAACGAGAGCCGCTGATCTCGCCAATATTGTCGAAAGTAGCAATCCATTGAATATTCCTAATGTTGATAAGTCGAATTAAATAACCCGCTATATTTTTAGTTGATCAAACTATTTTTAAAATTGAAACGGGAAGGTGCAAATTTTGCAAAAACCTTGCCACGGAATCTAAGAATAAAATACATTACCATGTCCAATTCCGATACCGGTCCCATGCTTCTAATTAGAATATTGGTTTGGACAATAGTTGGTTGATCTAAAAAAAATGATTTTTTAAAACTACTAAAAATACTTCTTTACAGATATCGACACATTGTTAAACATAATCAATTTTAAAATGAATATACAGCTTATATGATGCATTCGTTATAACAAGAACTAACTGGTCTGAATGTCTCTTTATTTATTTGGAAAAATAGCAACTTATTAATTATTTTTTACTTTTTACTTTTTGTTTTAAATATGCTCAGTTAATTAACAATAAAGAATTAATTAAATTATATGCAATATTAACGTCACAGCTTAAATGATGCAAAACAAAATATAACCAAATCAATAGCGAAAAACAAGTGCATACTTTTTACAAAACTGTTATTATTGCAGTAACCTGTGGAGGTTTCTTTGGAAAATTACAACTGCATAATTTGAAATACTCCTGCTAATATTTAGTCGGGCTTCCCTCATTATCGATAACAGCTTGTAGTACTTCTGGGTATTAATTCAACTATTATACTCCGGAGAAATTGTGTTCCATACTTCAGTAATTCTTACTTTTAATTAATTCTTGTTAGATATTGTCAATCACAAATTTTCAATTAAGTCAGGTGACTGGGCTGGTGTGCTTTGGATCATTGTCATGATAGAACCGATCATTGTTACCCATATTTAATTTTTGGGCACTAGCAACCAGATGCTGTCTTAATATATCCAAATACACATATTCATGGTTCATATTTCCTTGAATGAAATGTATTCTACCTACTCCTGCAGATGACATACAGCCCCGTAACATCACTCCACCTCCACCGTCCTTTTCCGTAGCTTTTAAATTTTTCAATTTTAATTCTTCCTTAGGCTTTCTCCGTGCTGATATTTTTCCATCGGATTCAAATAAGTTTATTTTGGTCTCATCGGCAAATATTACTGAACTCCAGAAGTTCAAATATTTATCGATATGCTCTCTAGCGAATGCCAATCTCACGCGTCGATTTCTTCGGCTAATGAAAGGCTTATTTCTGGCAGTTCGATCATGTAAATTATTTTTTCATCTAATTGTTTCAGGGTTACACCTTTTTGCAAACTATCTTTCCACGTCGACACACATCTTCGGAGCACTTTTTTTGGATAATTCGATACCTCTCTTACAATCCATCTATCTTCACGTTCATTGAAGATCTTATTTGAAGCTTGACTTATTCTCGACCCTATTTTCGTTACAGTATCGCACAATGATATGCTGAACAGTTGGCTGTCTCCATTTCTGTGATGATAATAATTAAATTTCTCTAAGAAATTGTAGTCCGACGACCCATTTAAAAAAAATCGTTTTACTGAACGAAAACGTGTTTTTAAATGCTAAACTAATCAAAAAACAATTGTAGCAATAAATAAAAGCCACGCCACGCGCCATAGATAAGTTTTGATAATTTATTTAATTATTTATTGTTAACTAAATAAGGCATATTTAAGACAAAAAGTAATTTACACTTTTTTAGAAGGCTCTTTACTAACTTAATTTCAATTAGTTGTTTTTTGCCAAATAAATAAAGAGACATTAGACCAGTTAGTTTTTGTTATAGCGACCGCATCATTTAAGCTGTGAGTCACTTTATTTGGAACAAGTGAAGTGAATATATAATAATAAAATAGAGTACGAATTCGCTACTTCGCTGAAAATTAAAAAAGTTAATCTTTGAAATAACCTCATTTGTACCTGTTACGTTCAGGCTTTCCAGTTTGATTAAAATAAAACAAAAATTCTTGATTTGTGCGAATTTCGCAAATTGAGATGTAAATTACTGGTAATTATTCGAACAAATGTATAACATGCAAAATTATTTCATAATAGGATTGAATATTATCAAGAAGCATATAACTGTTTGCTAATATTGAGATTGATTTTTTTATTAATGTTTTTGGCAAGCTTGTAAAAAAAGGAATTCAAATACGAAATAATGTAAAATGTGCTTCATTTTAAATGTACTTGTTGAATTGTCAATTTGAACACATTCTCTAGCCTAATAATGGCTTCAATTTGTGTTGCCTTTTAAAAGCAACGAACAAAGAACAAACGTTATAGTACATCGTTACCTTTATCTCATATTATACGGGAATCTTAACAATTTGCAAGGTAGGACGTCTCTTGCCTCGAATGCTAGTTGCCAATCCCCATACTTGCAAAGACCCCTTTGATGTTTTACACTAGCAATCGCATAGTTTCCGTGAATATAGTAAACAAAGAAAGGCTCTGTTATATTAAAAATTCTCGAGACCATTTTTGTCCTTATATCAGCGGTAATTCAGCCAATGCTTGAGGTATAATTTCCCACTAAGAGAGTAGGGTATTAATTAATAGCCTATTGATTATGTAGGTCTTCAGATATTCATAGTTGATTAAACTCTTGATTCATTGAGGAATTTTTAGAAAGTATAATAAAGTCTATTAAATATGTCGATGAATCGGAGCATATCAATTCAGAATAAGGTTCTGATAAGGACAATCAAATCAAACCTAATGCAGCCACGGAACATTTTTTAGCTTGGAGTGAGAATTTTGAAAACACTTCTTAACAGCCTTACATATGAATAGCTATTTAAATGCTAATACAATATTAGCGTAACTATATAAAACTAATGTAATATATCAACTACAACAATTGTTGATACATTCATGGTGACATGGTAATGGCAATAAAAGACTTAAAGTATCTTTTTAAAAGAATTTGAATTATGCTAGTATAATGTGTATACATAAGTGTTTGTGAAATTTCACGTTCTATTAAGAATTTAACGGCTGTTACATTTAGATAACATATTTATTTACAGTGGGTGGCCATTTTATAACAATACTTTTGTAGGAGTTTGATAGACGGATATTTCTGGATTTTTTTTACTGTGGCTGCATAAAGAAAGCAATTTTCTAAAAATTTGATCCATAGAATGCGTTGTAGGATTTAAAATATGCAAGGAATTTACTAATGCTGTTGCGGACAAACCCTTCTAAATTGCCTCCTGTCGCTAGTTACCTACGTACGTAGATTTAAGATTAATTTAGCTCGTTAATACAAATCAAATTAGTCAGTTTTTACCAAATAAGAAATACAAAGTGCCGAGTACAATATTTTAACTTTCATAAGGAAACTTAAACTTTGCGTACCTATTTTTACAAACTAGCATTGGCTAGAGCAATACAATTCAAAACAGATTAATTTTTTTTTGAGTGAAGGGACAAACATTCGCCAACGGGACTGTCAGTTTTTTAAATGACGTCATCATTGAATTAATGTTAATTTAAATTTAAAATATTTGTTGGGGTTTGCCATGACTTGCCTTGTTTAACAAAGGAACTATTTCAGTTTATGTATCGAATGGCTAAACGTTAAAAATAAAAAATTGAAAAGAATGCCGCTAAAATAACATTCCTGAAGCTTCCTTTAAAATGAGTGGGCAACATTTTTTGTTTTCATTGGTATCGGTGTCCTGGTCTATCCTTTGATATTTTTAACTGATTAAAAATTGTTTGAACGCTGACTTTCTTTATTGCAAACTGAAAAGAAAATACATGCCTTTCCCGTGTGATGGCAGCTGCGAGCTCTCGTAATTCTTTAAAAGATTCTCTAAGATGATCGTAATATTCTTGCTAACCACGTCGTTTCCCGCATGTCTTAATTTTTTTGACGCCGTAACGTTTTTCGGGTTGGACGAAAATCCCATCAGCACCGTCTTCATAGACATGTTTTGCATCATAATTTCTGATTCCAAAGCGACTCCGTTTCTTATAGTTGATGTTTGGGTAATTGACCTGTAAACAGGAGGAAATTGAGACAAAGTAAATCGTTTATATCCTCCACGTTAAAATGATTTTCGCAAGGGGTTGAAGAATTTATGGTGGTCCGATATTATTTGTGTTTTTTCCGCCAACAATATATCAAAAGCCCACGTTAGTTCAAAAAACGTTATTGTTTTTAAAATCATATGGGAAATTACAGTACCCAGATCTAAATGCAACATATCAGTTTTTTGTGTATTAATAAGATTTAGGAAAACTAACAAATTGAAAAAAATCAAGACGTAAAGAATTAAAAGGGAGTTAGTAATCTATGTGTCCAATTTTGACACTCCTCAACTCCTGAGCAAATCAGTTAATCTGGAGACGTAGCTATGTCTAAACCTGACCCTCTCATAACTCCAGTTCAGTTGTGTAAATCAATAAGAAGAAGCGCTTTAAGATGTGGCAGACCAGTTGTTTTTTGTCTAATAAATTTTTTCATCTCGTTGTGCATTTATTTAGATTTATTTCTTTATTTGGAAAAGTTGCAGGAAACAAAAAAGTTTCTAAATAAAACATAAAATATAGATTTCCATGTCACTGCATAATCTTTTCTTTAATTTAGTTAAGGAGAATGAGGGGGAAGTGTGTCAATCCCCTCTACTAATTATTTTTAATTATTTTTACGTCATTGTAGCTCGAAATCTTCCTTTTGACCCAACGTTTATACAGGGTTAGTGAAAAGTACCGAAACGCTTAAATAATATCTCCAAAACTGCCAATGTTAGAACGATAAAATTCAGAACCTGAAGGGTTTTGAAAAATTGCAACAAAAATAACTTGGGCGACCCATTTAAATTAACAAAAATATGACGTGTAACGTAAAAGTGGTAAATCTGACAACATTGCTTTTAACATTTTTGAATTCTGCAAGAAACCTCCAGGTATTGAATTTTATCATTCCAGCTTTGGCAGTTTTGAAGATGGATACTTTTTACTAACCCTGTATGATGAATTTAATTAATTTAATTTTAACAAGGAATCAATCCGCTAAGTTTTTCGCATTAGTTTTGAATAGTTTTATATGTCTGGGTCCTATATTAGGATGGTAAAAGAAATTATCTCACTGTGAGAGTATTGCGAATTTTTCGGCTGCTTTTCGGCTGTTTTGCAAAAATGTAACCAAAAGCCAGAGAAAGTATAAAATGGAATACGTTTATAACCTCGTTTATTATGCATTCGCTTCGCCCATGCCAAATCAAACTCGCCCATTAAAATGGCGTTTATTAAACTTGTTTCATAAATCACTATAAAGCGTATAAAGGCAAAACAAATTTCCGTTGAATTTTTTTTTTTAAAGGAAACTCCACACTTCAATTCCGATGTTTTCAGAAATGAGTAAATACAAACTAAAATCACAATGGAAATATCTGCCCGCGGGACATTTTCATATTGCAGAAAAAAAAAACTACGCTTATTTATCGAATTTTATTTATCCAAACGTTGCCGGGCGAAAATTTGTGAGTCGCTTTACGGAATTCAAAAACTGTTTGCTATTCTAATTTTCCATTTTTACATTCGACTTAACAGTGAAGTGGTAAAACTGCCGATTCGGCATTTGTTTTGTTCGACGGGAAACGACAAGATGGCTTTGGAAAGGCCAGCGGCAAGAATTTCAAGGATATAACAGTTTTAAACCCTTAGAGATCGGGGATGCATATTATTGAGATTTTATTTCGATTTCGTTGCGAATACCCTTATCAAGCGACGCGTAAAAATAATGACATTCCAAATTGATGTGCATTCCAGATTCAATATCTATTCTACAAGCATCATATCTGATAAACCTTAAACTCTGATTAACAATTACCTACTATCTGTCTCCCCACCTTATAACTTAAAATTAAATTGAATCTGAAATTTATTTTTTCTACTCCCTACTTTACAATTATGCACTGATCGCGCATGCAAAGTGCATGAATATTTATTATTATTATATTATATCGTTGATATAATTGTAGTTATAAACAACAGAAAATGATCTACCCGCTTCATTGTCAAAGAAATATTGGAGATGATTTTTATTTTGGGTGCGCTGTAGTTTTAAAAATGAAGTGATTGAAAATATCATGAATATTCGGCCAAGCCAAGTACTTTCGAGAAAACAATTTCAGGAGCATTTGTTACATTACAACCTGTAGTGAATTTGAATTTCTTTAATTCGTTAAATTGCGCACAAAAATGAGTGCAAATATTAACAACTTCATATTCAACCACATATTTCATTTATTAGCATTAAGTTTGCTCAATAATATGTAGCACAAGTTTTCCCGAATTAAAACCATGTTCGCAGTGTATATAAGGTATTAAAATGCAAATCTCTTTCCAGGAACACATGTTTTTACACTAAAAACGATATAATGATATTCATGAAATGTGTCTGGTAAAGTCGCAGTTTTATATGTGCTATACAGTTACTGTGAAATTCGGAGTTATATCGCGGAATAAATCCTTGTGGCGCGCCGAGCGAAAATGTTTTTTACTAAGGAATATTATATTTTAAATAATAGATAAAGAAAGTATTGTAAGTTAGAATCACCCCGTGACTTTTAATGAAATGTGTCTAACATCTTGCATCGTAAAATCAGGAATAAATATTACGGAAAACAAATATATTCATGGAAAGACCTCGCCACGTCTTGTAACGCCAAAATGTAAAACATTTGGTATTGATTTCGGGATAAGTAAAACCGATTTGTATACATACTTTGCTGCCAAACACTTGAGAATATTAAAAGTATTCCATTCGTTCCTAGTTTGGAAATAAGTACTATTTTAGTGAGCATTGGTAGGTTTTTTGTAAAGATTTTTTTTAATACTAAATATTTTGAAAATTGTTTTACTTCAGTACTGCAAGCCATTTAGGAACTTATAGAAACAAAGGTGAAGGTTACTAGATGAGCACTCTAAAATAAGCAAGGTATTAACAGTATAGTCTATGAAAAACAAATTAGGTCACGAGAATTTTCTGAAAATTATTTTCAAATTTTACAAAATTTTGACTGGGGAAGAGGTGTTTTCTAATAGAATGTCCATAATAAAGGGGACGATTTTAAAAAGAAAACTGGAACATGAATTAAAATAAAAATTATTTTTACAATCTCCAACCATTTCTAAAGAAATTTAATTCCTTGACTTTTTTTCAATCTGATGTACGGTTTTCGCTTAAAAAAATAATAACCTCTTTGCATGGTCATAACAATATCGTTAATATGGCAGCATGCAGAGAATTATTATTAATCATTATTATTTCGTGCTTAACTAATTGTCTATCTGTTTGATTAGATTAGATTAGATTAAAATACTTCAAAAAATCGAAGTACGAATGCGAAGTACATAAACTCTATATTTTTGAAAACTTCATAATTATTTCTTATAAGAGGTAGTTGGCTGTGTCTGTCAGAATTATTCATTCTGTTGTCAAGGCGGTTGTTTGACATCAGTTTTTAAATTCAGTTTTTGGGGTCTTATTAATTTGGAGTTTAAAATATCCGAGCATTATGGATTATGGGTTACTTTTGAGATATACCTTATGTGTTTTAATCTGTCGTTCGCTTGATGATTGTGACATCTTGACGTCACAGTCAGTTTCGTCGATTGCGTATAAAATTATTCTTAGTTATTCTGGTTCTCAATTTACTAATAAACATGTCCAGCAAATTCAAAAAGTAAGTGCAACTTGATGCCAATACAATCACTTACTAATAAACATAGGCGAGACATACATTTCTTTAAAACGTCTTCACCGTCAGGTTCAAATCTTAAATTTTGAAATGCTTAAATTACTATTACTATTAGGCTATGGTAATAAAAATATGTAATTTGAAAAATTGATAGAGTAGAGAAATATATATTTACTTTATTCATTCATCATTAGTTATTAATTTACAACATGATATTATTACGCTATTCTCGGAATTGCGTAGAGTTTTTAAATTCTAATTGGAGAGGCACGGAATTGCTTTCGGCAATACAGTCAACCAGACTAAAATTGGCATACGCGGAATCATTAAAAACGAATTGCTGTTATTCCGGGAAACAAGATTTTGTGCGATGGATTTTCCAGTGAACTGAAAGAGAAGCTATTTCTGGCACAAAAGTTCATTATTTGTATTTCTCTAATTAGTTTAAAAAACGTAAAGCTTGTATTCGCAGATATCTGGAAAAGCTGCTGAACAATTCGAGGCGTTAAACTTTCTACGATAATGCCAGAATATTTTTTAAGAATTTGAATGTGTTGCGTCTTACTTTTAATGTTCGGTCGACCTACATATACTTGAGGAAACGCAATAAAATGAAACCGTTTATTAAGGCACCCTTACCACCCAAGCATCACATAGCCTTTGTTTCGTGCATTACAAAGAATCCGCCTTCATACAAAGAGAAAAAAAATTCAATACACGACAGTATTCGGCGTGTATAAATTTTTCGGTTATTTTTTAAAATGCGATTTTTACCGAGAAATGAATTATCTAACCACGATTGTAATTTTGTTGCATTAATAAGTAACGCGATTCGAAGGCACAAGGTGAAGATTTATACCCTCTCCTCCAGCAGCTGCAGTTTTGCTCAGCTTGTATTTATTCAACCAACAAACATGTATAGCCTTTATACCTCAATCTTTAATGACAGCTGCAGAGTTTTGGCATACTTATCATGGCTCCTAATTTAAATTTATATGCTGAGAGAAGCAAGCGAAGAACAGTGTATTTAATAATGTAAAAACAGATTTGAGTTTCATACAGTTTTTTATTTTAATTGAATTTTCATATTCTTTCATGATCTTGTTTATCAGGTAAGATGAGCTCTGGGAAGCGACAAGCACATAATAGTATATTATGCAACAAGTGCGGTAAACGGCATTTGAGTCACGAGCTTATTTGGCACGAGCGGAGCGAGTGATTTATATACTAGTGACTTAAAAAGTTTACCAAACATGTTGCATACTATACTTATTTTTACAAAACACAACACAAATAAATTCACTGACATGACCATTAGAATTGACAAACGTCAAAATTCAAAGCGTGGGAAATATCTCCGAAAACATCCGATTTCTGCTAAACCCGTGCGGTGATATCCCGGAAATGTCCGAATGGGCTCGGATCCGTGGAACAAGCAACTCACGTCGTAAAGTGACGCTTTCCGTACGCTAGATCGGTGTATTGTTAGGTATTTTACAGAAGGGAGTAGAAAAATGCTTTATTTATCTGAATTATCTCGAGGCACGAAAATGGATATCACCGAAAATAAAAAAGCTAACCAACGAAGTGAAAATGCATGTAAGGTCCAATTTCCCGCGGAAATAAAAAGATTATAAATCTTCACTTTGCGACTGGACGCCTTTAATAAATAACGCTTAATTCTGGAAGTCGCGTTGTTTTTTTAGCGCTTGCTGCTACTTTCGGTATATCTTAATCTAATATGCAAAGGAAATTGCGGTCGAAATGCGAGAAGATGCCCGGATTATTGCAAGATAAATTACCACCGTGTTCAGATGATTTATTTGGCAGTTAAAATTATCGTACATTACAAAATTGGGAATAAAAATTTCGTCAAACAAGACAAATTCACTAAATGCTTAAAATTTTTAAGGCAACAAATTATAGTCAATTAAAATCAATCAGGAAAA